TGAACAGATGGATGGATAGGTAGATGATAAATATAGCAAAATGATAATTATCAAATCTAGGTGGTATGTATGTATGTATACTTATACACACACACATACATATATAGGTATTCACAGTATAATTCCTTTAACTTCTCTGTATGTTTGAAAGTTTTTATAACACAATGGAAGATGTATGTGTGTGTGTGTGTGTGTGTGTGCGCGCGCGTGCGCACGCGCGCGCGCACATACATACACAGTTCATTATATCATTAAGGAGATGAGAATAACATGTAAAAAGGGAATATGTAATATTAGGAAGGACTTTAATTCAATATAAAATGTGCTATAACTTCTCAAAAAATTAAAGAACCACATAGGTAAAAATAAAAAATAGATTCTATATCTTGTTCAGCCAGATATTTAGTGTCAACATTGGCTCTAATGGTTCAAATATAATTTATTTAAACAAATACAGCTCCCTTCCCCCCCCCTTGCCCCCTCCCACCTTCCCTCCCTCAGCTCCAAGAACTATTTTAATGGAAATATTTTCATTAAAAATTACATTTGTAAATAACAACTGTAAGTAGATGAAAAGAAAGATCAACTACAGCATGTAGTTCATCTAAAACTCTTATTCCAGTAAGCCAGGGGGCGAAAGACAAATACCATATGATCTCACCTATAAGCGGAACCTAACCAACAATACAAAGATGCAAGGAAAATAAGACCAGCAACACTGAAAGGAAAAGAAATCAACAGAGACAAGAGGGAAGGGGGGGCGGGGAAAAGGAAGAGAAGGGGAAAGTCAAGGAACATATAGCAAGGACTCATAGGCAAAACCAAAGGGGAAGAGCTGAGGGAGGGAGGAAAGGAGGGGCAAGGGAAAGTGGTGGAGGGTAGGCAGAGACAAATGTATTTGAAAAAATAAATTAAAGTAAAATTAAAAAAAAATAAAACTCTTATTCCACAGAGAAAACACTGTAAGGAGTTCATTGCATAACTTCCTCATTTTCTTTTAAAGCATGTAAGAGCCTATATACATATGCATATTATATAGTATATAGCCAGATCTATAATCTGTTTTTTTCACTCAACAGTGGAACATGGAAATAGTTTCATAAAAAAATGTGTAAATATACTTCAATCTATTTAAAGTTGCAGAGCTTATTATAATATGAAAGAACGATGATATCCTTAACCAACCAACTACTGTTCTATAAAATCTAAGAGTTATCAACTAAATTGATAAAACAAATAACAAAAGACAGGACCTATTTTCTAGTCATGTTTCCCACTTGATTCTAAACTGTCTTCCTTATTTAGGCTTATAAACATAACATTGTCATGAGAAAAAAAGCTTTAATCTTCCTGCAGAGCAATGTGGATAACAAAATCAGAATATAATTGCTCTCCAAAAAAACAAAAGAGGGAATACTTCCCAACTCATTCTAGGAGATTAGTACTACCCTGATACTAAGAATTGACAAAGATATCCACAAAAATAGAAAACTAAAGACAACTGATTCTTATTAATAGAGATACAAAAATCCTCAATAACATATTTATATTATTTATATAAATATATAAATTTATATAAATTTATAAATCCTCAATAATATATTTATAATATAATAATATATTTAAAGGATACACACCATGTCTTGGTGGTATTTATCTCAGGAATGCAAGGTGGGTTTAAGATTTAAGAAATTTCTTAATATAACATACTATATAAATAGAATAAGGGCAAAATCACATGACTTATTTCAGTAGATGCCGAATTTCAGAAAATCCAACACCCATTTATATTAAAAAGCACTCAAAAGTGGAATTGTATAGAATTTCCTCAATCTGATAAATGGCATAAATGAAAAATCTGTACCTAACATCTTACTAATTAGCCAAAAAAATAATTCTTTCTCTCTAAGATCAGGAATGAGACAAGTAAGTTCTTACCACAGCTCTTGTCTTATGCAGGGCAATTAGGTGAAAAATAAATAAATAAAAGACTCCCAGATTAGAAAGGATAAGACAGCTGTACTTTACAGATTGCTGCTACCTGTTATGAATGTAATCTTTAGTCTCTAAGGAGTCTATAATCCTTATTAGTTGTGTTACTTAAGAATGTGTTCCCTGTAATTTTCTCTAAAAACTAAAAATGGAACTTTATTTTGACCCAGCAATTCCACTGCTGGGATTATACCCTAAGAATGCTGAAACACAAGTTCAAAAGAACTTTACTCCTATATTCATAGCAGTGCTATTTAAAACAGTCAAGTGGCAGAAATAGCCTAATTGCCCATCAGTAAATGAGTGGGTCAAAAAACTGTGGTACACTTATATAATGGAATACTACACAGCAGAAAGAAGGAACTCCTACCCTTCGCAACAGCATGGATGGAACTGGATAGCATTATGCTAAGTGGAATAAGCTAGCCAGTGGAAGACAAATATGATATGATCTCACCTATATGAGGCACATAATGAACAAAATAAACTAAGGAGCAAAACAGAATCAGAGGCATGGTAACATGGAACAGACTAAAAGCAACCAGAGGGGAGGGGTGAGGGGCATGAGGATATAAAGAAGTGGATTGGACTACTCAAGAAACATGTATGAACGGCCCACGGACATGAACAACAGAGTGTGGAATGATTGTGGGAGCGAGAGCGAGTGGTGTGCTGGGTGGAGGAGGGCAAAAAAGGGAAAAATTGGGACAACTGTAATAGAATAACAATAAAGTATTTATCCATGAGACCTTGCTACATGTTCCCCGACCCTCCCATTCCCTTCCTTTTCCCCTGTCCCCCCACTTCCATCCCTCTTGTTTGTGTTTGTTTCTTTTCCTTTCAGTGTTGCTGGTCTTATTTTCCTTGTATCTTTGTATTGTTGGTTAGGTTATGCTTATAGGTGAGATCATATCAGAGACAAATGTATTTGAAAAAATAAAGAAAATAAATGAAAATAAAAGAATAACAATAAAATATTTAAAAATTTTTAAAAATCTACTTAAGAGTGACAGATATTAACACGAACAAAATTAACAACACATAATACCAAAAAAGCAATAAACTATAGTCATGCCCATTAAAATCAGGAAGAAAACATATATGTTCATTATGCCCATTACTAATTAGCTTTGTTTTATAGATTCAAGATAATTCAGTAAATCAGGAATTGAAATAATACATATAAATACAGGAAGCTAAGAAACAAAATAAATCTTACCCTTTGCAACAGCATGAATGGACTTGAAGAGTATCATGCTAAGTGAAACAAGCCAGTCAGAGAAAGACAAGTACCATATGATTTCACTCATATGTGGAATATAATGAATGAATAAAATAAACTAACAAAAAAATAGAAATGAGACTCATAGATAGAGAACAGACTGACAGCTGTCAAAGGGGAGGAGGTTGGGAGGCTGAGTGAAAAAGTAAAGGGATTGAGAAAAAACAAACAAACAAAAAATTCATAGACACAGACAACATTATGGTGATTACCAGAGGGAAAGGGAGGTTGGGGGAGATAGAATAAAGTATGAGGGGACAAACAACGACGGAAAGAGACTTGACTTGGGATGGTGAACACACAATAAAAGATACAGATGGCATATTATAGAATTGTACACCTGAATCCTATATAATTTTATTAACCAATGTCATCCCAATAAATTCAATACAAAAGAAAAACCAAAAAATAACAAAAGCAACAAAAAGTCTTTACTCCTTTAAGACTGAAATCACAAAAATACACACCGTTTCAATTGTATCAGGAAAATTTTCTTGAAAATGTTAATTTGTGATTCGCTGAAGTATTTCAAAATCACAAAAGGACAAAACTCAGAGACGTACTTTTGTTTTTTCCTGCCGTCATACACATATGCAACTATTTAAAAGGGTAGGTCTGTCCTAATGAGAGCATTTAGACAGGAAAAAGGAATAAAAGGGATCCAAATGGGAAAGGAAGAAGTAAAAATGTCACTATTTGCAAATGACATGATTTTGTATACAGACAACCCTAAAGACTCCATCAAAAAAAGAAAACTGTTAGAAATAATACATTCAGTAAAGTTGCAGGATACAAAATCAATATAAAAAAATCTGTTGCAGTTTTATATTCTAACAACAAACTATAGGGAAGAGGAATTAAGATTACACCATTTATAATTACACCAAAAAGAATGAGAGATAACTGAAGAGGTACAAAAAAAAAACCCAAAGTAAATTAAGTTTAAAAAGAAACAAGATACATCTCAAACATGTTTAGAAATAAAAGAATGTGATAACTTGTTTAGATAGAAATCCAATAAGCAAAAATCAAACTTTTCTATTAGTAAAAACCAGTTGCCAATAAAATTAGATGGAAATCCTCATTTACATTCTTTGTTGTTAATTTAAAGTTCATAGAATTTGTTAAAAATGTAAAAAACAAATGTTTTATTTGGTACATTGAATATTTTTTTAAAATATATAAAGTTGGTAAGTAGGCATTTTTCACTAGACGGGGACTTAATCTAATTAATAGGAGGATTATATTCCTATATCTCAAGTTTACTTAACACTACAGAAGTTACAACACAGCTGTTAGAATTCCATTAGAAATAAAGAGCTGATGTAATTAGCTTGGGTGGTAGCTATGACAACAAAATCCCATCAGAATTTAGTATATAAGAAGCACTTATTTGTTTATATAACTCAAAAACTTTTTCATTATTTGTGATTCAAGCTGCTAAAAGTATCTCTTTTCAACATATCTGCAAAAACCTAATAACAGAAAAATTATTTCTAAAGAATGATAAACAAATGAGGTCCTACTTAACATTTTGCAAAAATAAAATATTCACCAACTTATCTCTCAAGTCTCAGGTGAAGGACTCACTCCTACATGAAATAGCCATGTTTGCTAAAATTCTAAGCCAACACCAGAGTTTAGAATTTACTTTAAATTAGTGAAGATTTATAATGGGTCTTTGGTCTCTCTAAATACATTTTAAGCTCTTTTGTGAGCAGGGAACATGCCTTTAATTTGTACCCTTCAATTAAGCAGATCAGGAACAAAAATAATAGGTATGGGGATCATTTGGAGGATTATCATTTGGGAGGGGGAAGGAGAAGAAAGGGGAAAATGGTGTAGAGAAAAGCATAATTGGTAGAAACAAAATAGATAGGGGGATATTAAGGATAGTATAGGAAAGGGAGAAGCCAAAGAACTTACTTGCACAACCCATAGTCATGAACTAAGAGTTGGGGGGTGGGGGTACTGCTAGAGGGAAGGGCGGTACTGGGGGGAGGGGGGCAAAGGGAAAAAATTGGGACAACTGTAACAACATAATCAATAAAATAAACAAAAAAAGTAAAAATTGGTAGTTACAAAATAGTCACTGGATGTAAAGTACAGCATAGGAAATATAGTCAATAATATTGCAATAACTATATATAGTGCCAGATGGATACTGGAAATATCAGGGGGGGTCACTTTATAAAGTATATGACTGTCTAATCACTATACTGTACACCTTAAACTAATATAAAATAATATTGAATATATACTGTAATTAAAAATTAAAGTTTAAAGTTCTTCCAAAAAAATAATTTGTCTCCTTCACTTAGCTCAGTGCTATGACTAAACAGGTTCTTTAAAGTTCATCAGTATTTGTGCATATAAACAGTATTTCTTTCTAGAACTATTCTTATATTTTTAAGAAAGACAAATGATTGTAACAAAATATTTTGCACATGTGGAAATAAAATCTTTAGAATAATGATAAATCAACATAAAATTATTTCTGTATTTGCAGTTGTTGTTTCAACTTTCCGTATTAATGAAAGCACATTTGAGAATGGAAAAAGAAAAGTTCGACAGCTATTATTCTTACCCTTTCCCTCTAAGCACCTTTGTGATTACTATAACCATATGCAATTTAATATTATATATTGATAATTCTAAGCTGTTAGAATAGTACAAGCATCACATTTAGATATTTTAAATATATTTAATTATTTTATTCATATGTTATAGATATTTATATATCACTAAGTCTAATTTAAAAGTAGGTTATTCTTTAACACCTAATTGGGTTTCTTCCTACCATACTATATTATAAATCACTTTAGGTTAGAGACTCTGCTGTTTCAAGCTTACAAACTTTATAGGCACTCAAAAAACTACTGACTTTTATCACAACAGTTTAACACATAGAGTGAGTCATTATAATTCTATAGTTTACACTATTAATCTTACCAAAAAATTTAAGACTCATAATTGAGATAGTCCATGTACATATTTTTAGAAATTGAGCATACTATGTAAACATAAGTTTACAGTATTTAAACTTTACGGAGGAGGATTCAAGAAGGTGGAGCAGTGAGTGGAAGCCACACTGACCTCCTCCCAGGACCAACCTGGAATTACAACCTGGAAAACCCAGGCAGCGAGCGCTGCTACAAGGTCATCGTGACCAACGAGAATGGGCTCCAGGCGGCCGACCCCAACAGCATCTTCCTCATCGACCACGCCTGGACCTGCCGCGTGGCGCAAGCCCGCCAGCAGCTGTACCAGGTGCCTGGCCTGCTGCACCGCATGGCCAACCTGATGGGCGTCGAGTTCCACAGGGAGCTGCCCAGCGCTGAGGCTGTGGACCAGGTGCTGGAGGAGATGTGGAAGTTCAACCAGACCTACCAGCTGTCCCATGGGACGGCCGAGGAGAAGGTGCCGGTGTGGTACATCATGGACGAGTTCGGCTCGCGCATCCAGCACTTGGACGTGCCCAGCTTCGCCACCGCTCCCTTCTTCTACATGCCCCAGCGGGTCGCCTACACGCTGCTGTGGCCGCTGAGGGACCTGGTCACAGGCGAGGAGGTGACCCGGGACTTCGCCTATGGAGAGGCAGACCCTCTGATCCGGAGGTGCAGGCTCCTGCCATGGGCCCCCGCCGACATGCTGGGCCTCAGCTCCCGCACGCCCGAGCCGCCCGAGTCGCACTACCAGGCCATTTTGGAGGAAAACAAGGAGAAGCTGCCAGTGGCCGTCGATCCAGTGGCATATCCCTGTGACCACATCTTCAAGGTCTACACGGACGTGCAGCAGGTGCTCAGCCACCTCACCCACCCCCGCTTCACCTTCACCCAGCAAGCGAGGCGGACGCCGACATCCTCTACAACTTCTCCCACTTCAAGAACTATAGGAGGCTCAGCCAGGAGAGGCCGCATGTGCTGCTGAACCAGTTCCCCTGCGAGAACCTGCTGACGGTGAAGGACTGCCTGGCCTCCATCGCGCGCCGGGCGGGGGGCCCCGAGGGCCCAGCCTGGCTGCCCCGCACCTTCAACCTGCACACCGAGCTGCCCCAGTTTGTCAGCTACTTCCAGCAGCAGGAGAGACAGGGCGAGGACAACCACTGGATCTGCAAGCCCTGGAACCTGGTGCGCAGCCTGGACACCCACATCACCAGGAGCCTCCACAGCGTCATCCGGCACCGCGAGAGCAGCCCCAAGGTTGTGTCCAAGTACATTGAAAATCCTGTCTTGTTCCTTCGAGAAGACGTGGGGAGGGTCAAGTTCGACATCTGCTACATTGTGCTGCTGCGGTCGGTGAAGCCCCTGAGGTTGTTCGTGTATGACGTGTTCTGGCTGCGCTTCTCCAACCGACCCTTCGCTCTCAACGACCTGGACGACTACGAGAAACATTTCACGGTCATGAACTACGACCCAGAAGTGGTGCTGAAGCAGGTGCACTATGATGAGTTCATCCCCGAGTTTGAGAAGCAGTACCCAGAATTTCCCTGGAAGAGTGTCCAGGCCGAGATCTTCCAGGCCCTCACGGAGCTGCTCCACGCGGCATGTGCGAAGCCACCGCCCCTGGGCCTCTGCGACTACCCCTCGTCCCGGGCCATGTACGCCATCGACCTCATGCTGAAGTGGGACAGCCGTCCAGATGGGAAGCGAGTGATGCAGCCACAGATCCTGGAGGTGAACTTCAACCCGGACTGTGAGCGAGCCTGCCGGTACCACACGACCTTCTTCAATGACGTCTTCAGCACCTTGTACCTGGATGAGCCCAGTGACTGCCATGTCACCTGCCTGGTGTAGGTGCTCGCTGGCCCTCCTGCTTTTTCTTGCGGCGGATTACAGCCTCAGACCCCTGAGCCGCTTCTGCAAAGCCCCCCTCCTCCCTTGGGCACAGGCGGGCCATGTCCCGGCTTCACACCGGGGCATGGCCAGGAGCAGGGCCGCCGCACTTCCCTCTGCCCCGCCCGTGTGGCAGCGGGTCCTCGAGGCTCAGCCGGGGCTTGACCGCCGCGCGCTTGGTTTCTGGACCGCCATGTCTCCCAGGGTGCTAACGCCAGAGTGGTTCTGGGGAGCGCGGCAGGGTGTCCTCTGGGAGCCCCGACGTGCACGGGGCCAGGCCGGCTCTTGTCCACGAGTCTGCTCGGGCACCACAGCTCCCCCAGAGCGAGGGTCAGGCTCCCACGCTCCTCCCCAAGGGCCCTGTGTGACAGGTGTCCCCAGAGCACATCGGGGAACCTGCTTGCCAGACCCAGCCTTGTCACCTGTCCCCACCCCAGCTCAGCCAGAGCCTTCACCAGCAAACCAAGGAGTCCAGGGCGGGAAGCCACGGCCTTTTGCTGCTGATGCCTTGCCATTTAGCGAGGGCCAGCCTGCCCTGGTCCCTCTGGCCCCAGGGGCCCCGGCACCACCATGGTTCCGCCCTGAGTTTGGGTGGCGCTTTGTGGAGGGGACCGGCGTGGGCAGCAGAGCGCCAAGCTGTGGATGGCTTCGGAAGCTGGTTCCACAGAGGACTTCACGTTGGTCTGACACCATCTTCTACCGGGCTCTAGAGTCAAAATGCTGGATCACTGTTGCTCTTTCATTTATGGGAAGAAAATACACAATTCTCGTTCTTAATGTGGTTTCTGAGACGTGGAGTCGGAAGGCCAGCGTACTGCGCAGCACCATGCGCCAGGGCCTGGCTCCCGGTGGCTCCCAGCAGCTCCCAGCAGCGGGAGGCTGCCCGCTGAGCTTGCTGTGTCTGTGTCGAGGGTGGAGCGCTTGTTTCCACCTGAAGCCGAGAGCATTCCCTGTAGCAAAACTGGACCAGATTGTGCCTCCCATCTCTGTGTGGCTGTGTCTGTCCATCCTCTCTGTTGACCACAATAAACCTCAGCCCGTCCCTCCAGCCAAGCAGAGGGGTAGCAGGGGGACACCTTGTCTCAGCTGCTGGCGTTCTGTCCCCTTCTCAACTGGATTTGTACCACAATAAAGTATGCTTTCCGTAAAAAAAAAAAAAAAAAAATCACCTGGAAATCACCTAGAAAACAACTGAACAATAGCGAGAGAGGAGCCCTAAAACCTCAGGCAGAGAGAGGAATCGCCTTCAGAACAACTTAATGGGTAAGGAATGTGGTACAGGCTCAAGAAGGTGGGCTAGGCGCCCATGCGCAACAGGCCCGGAGGGATATTGAAATGGCCAGTTGGACCCCACTGAGAAGAGAGGGGTCTAAACCATAAGCAGGAATCTCCAGCTATAGCACCAGAGCCCAAAAAGCACTCAGACAACAGCCAGCTGTGAATAGCGGCAGAGTACTCTCTGCCAGATATAGGTGGCTGGAGACACAAGGAGCCATTTGAAGGGCCAGCACAAAAAATTTGTAGTGGCAGCCACTTACCTTGGGCTCTGACAGAGGCGGGAGCAGAAGGGGCTAGAGCCGCCTGAGGAGAAACTGGAGAAGGAGACTTTGGGGAGGGGACTGAGAAAGAGGCTTGTGGGGTCCCAGTGTTGACTCACCTCCCATTCTGCAGCTGCCATCTTGCTTTGGCAGACCACTCCCCTGAGCTGCAGCAGCGTGAAAGGACACATTTGCCCACTGCCAGGAGGCTCTGCCCTGGCCTGGCATTGCGCAGGCCTGGGTGCCGAGTACAGAGCAACAACCAGAGATAGTTGATCCCTGGCTAAAGGGGACGTGAAGTGGTCTTGAGTTCCTTGAGGAAAGTCTGAATACAGAGGTTTTAGGGAACTGAGGGAATAGCCTGGCAGATCCCAGTGCTAACTTCTTCCCCATATGGCAGCAGCCGTCTTGCTCAGGCAGACCACTCCCCTGAGCAGTAGCAGCGTGAAAGGACACATTAGTCCATCCACAGGAGCCTCAGCCCAGGCCCAATCTTGGGCAAGCCCCACTGCTGAGTACACACAGCAGTTACAGATAGTAGATCCCTGGCTAAAGAGGACACTGAGTGGTCTACAGATGCTTGAGGAAAGTCTGGATATGGAGGTGTTGGGAAGAGAACTGAGGGAGTAGCCATCGGACCCTGGTGCTGACTCTTCCCCTATATGGCAGCTGCCATCTTTCTCAGGCAGACTACTCCCCTAGGTGGCAACAGCCTGAAAGGACTCAATAGCCCTGCCCACAGGACGGACCTTGCCTGGCCCTGACAGCTGAGGGCAGAATGACAAGTTTAAACACTGGAGGAGACAGACACAGGCAGCAGATTTCTGGAAGTCTCTTAAAGACTGCCTAAGGTCAAACAGGGTCAACAGCTGACATCGTCAGAGGCAGATCCTGAAGAAAGAAAGAAGAAAAAATGCAGTAGCCAACAATAGAAGTTCACACGACAAAATCAAGAACTCAAGACAGATCAAATGAAGAAGCAGAAGAAAAAAAGAAGAGGAAGAAAATAATAGGAAGAAAAAGAAACACCCTCAATTGACAGAAAAGGAGGAATCCTCACAAAAAGAATGAAATGAAATAGAGGCAAGTAAACTATCAGATACTGAGTTCAAAACAACAGTTCTAAGGAAGCTCAATGAGCTCAGTGAGCTCAGAAAGAATTACCAAAAACTACAGGGAAACTGTGAGGAACTTATTGTAAACTATATCAGCATGAAAAAAGACAGAAATTCTCAATAAAAGGCAAGAGGAAATGAAGAATACAATATCTGAATTGAAGAACAGAGTAGAAGAAATGAAAAGCAGGCTACATGAAGCAGAGGATCGAATCAGTGAGCTGGAGGACAAAGTAGAAAAAAGTTCCCAGAAAGAACAAGAAAATGAAAAAAGACTCAAAAAGAATGAAGAGGCATTGAGGGAAATGCAGGACAACCTGAAAAATAATAATCCATCTAATAGGGATACTAGCAGAAGACAAACAATGGATAGAGAACATATTTGAAAAAGTAATGATGGAAAACTTTCCTAATTGGAGGAGAGAAAAAGTCACACAAGTCCACGAAGCACAGAGAATCCTATTCAAGTGGGACCAAATGAGTCCTACACTATAACACATCATCATGAAAATGTCAAATATCAAAGACAAAGAGAGAATCCTAAAGGCAGAAAGGGAGAAACAGATAGTAACATACAAGGGAGGCCCAATATAGCTAGCAGCTGACTTCTCAACAGAAACCCTACATGCCAGGAAGGAATGGTAAGAAATATTCCAAGTCATAAAAAGCAAGGGCCTGCAGCAAAGACTGCTAGACCCAGAAAGGCTCTCAATTAAAATGGAAAGTGAAGTAAGGAGTTTCCCAGACAAATGAAGGCTAAAAGAATTCACCTCCACCAAACCAGCACTGCAAGATATGCTGAAGGGACTGCTTTAGGAAAATGAAGGAAAAGAGTGAGAAAGAGAGAAAAACATATAAAAAAATGAAAAAATGAGTAAGTACCTGTCAATAATAACTTTAAATGTAAATAGATTAAATGCCACAATCAAAAGACATAGGATAGCTAAATGGATAAGATAACATGACCCACACATATGCTGCCTACAAGAGACCCCCCTCAGAACAAAGGACCTCCACAGACTGAAGGTAAAGGGATAGAAAAAAAATACTCTAAGCAAATGGACAGGGAAGAAAAGCAGGGGTAGCAAATACTTATATCAGACAAAATAGATTTCAAAAGAAAGGCCATAAAAAGAGATCCAGAGGAAACTGTAATACTCAAAGGAAGAATCCATCAAGAAGACATATACATTGTAAACATATATGCACCCAACATAGGAGCACACAAATATCTAAGAAAAATCTTGGAGGAAGTCAAGAACGACATAGACATACACACTGATAGTAGGGGATTTTAACACCCTACTGTCAACAATGGATAGATCTTCCAAACAAAACATCAACACAGATTTTGTGGAACTGAATGACGCATTAGATCAAATGGGCTTATTGGACATATATAGAAACTTTCATCCCAAAGAAAAATACACATTCTTTTCAAATGCACACAGAAAATTTTCAGACAGACCACATGATAGGACACAAAACAAGCCCCAATAAATTGAGGAAAATCAAAATCATAATAAGCATTTTCTCAGACCACAAGAGTGAAACTAAAAACCAACCTCTAGGAAAAAACTCAAAAAATTTCAAACTCATTGAGACTAAATAGCACGCTATTCAACAATGAATGGATTGATAATGAGATCAAAGAGGAAATCAAAAAGTTTCTGGAAAAAGATGAAAAGGAACACACAACAGTCCAAAACCTATGGGACACAGTGAAGGCAGTCCTAAGAGGGAAGTTCGGAGCAATACAGGCCTACCTAAAGAAGATAGAAACACTTCAAATAAATGACCTAACCCTCCATGTTCAAGAAGTGGAGAAACAACAACAAACAAAGTCCAGAGTGAGTAGAAGAATGGAAATAATCAAGATCAGAGCAGAATTAAATGACATAGAGACTAAAAGAACAGTTCAAAGGATCGAAAAAATCCAGGAGTGGGTTCTTCAAAAAGACAGATAAAATTGACAAGCCTTTAAGCAGACTCATCAAGAAAAAGACGGACAGGATCCAAATAAATAATATCAGAAATGAAAGAGGAGAAATAACAACTGATACCACAGAAATACAGAGGATTATAAGAAATTACTATGAACAATTGTATGCCAAGAAACTGGAAAACCATGATGAAATGGACAAAGTTACAGAAAAATATAACTTTCCAACACTGAATAAAAAAGAAGCAGAAAGCCTGAAGGGAGTGATATCAGCAGGTGAAATTGAAACAGTAAACAAAAAATACCTGGCACACAAAGCCCTGGACCAGATGGTTTCACAGGAGAATTTTACAAAATATTTAAGGAAGAGCTAACTTCTGTCCTTTTCAGACTATTCCAAAAAATTCAAGAAGGGGGAAGACTCCCAAACTCTTTTTATGAGGCCAGCATCATCCTAAACCCAAAACCATATAAGACCCAACAA